TCAGTAAAAGCTGGGGTCTGTAGCAGGTGGCTGTAAAAGTACGTGTGACTGTTCAGTAAGTCAGCCGGGTAGGAGCAATGGAGATACTTCTTCAGAGAAGACAAAGGGGACCATGATAGTATTCCTTGACTGTTTTCTCTAGCAAGTTTTGTTATGCCCCTCCTTGGATGTTCTTTGCAACTGTATGCCTTGAATTTTCGGTGCGTGCTCCTCTGACTGTGTGAATGAGAGGTGCACGTCTTGATTTAGCTATAACCTAGAATCATGGTCTGGTTTGGGTTGGAAGGGACCTTAAAGATCGTCTAATTCCAACCCCCTGCCATGTGCAGGGACACTTTCCACCAGACCAGGTTGCTCAAAGCCCTATCCAACTTGGCCTTGAACACTTCCAGGGAGGGGCCAGCCGCAGCTTCTCTGGGCAACCTGTTCTGTCTTACTAGTAAGCTTGATACACACTAGTATTGAGCTTATTGCAGTCAAAGCCCTTGTTGGTAATTTAGGAAGAGAGTCCTCGAGCAACTGCCCTCTTCAGAGCTTCTTAAAATGTTTTCCTTGGGTGAACAAAAAATATATTTATGTGATGCTGAGAAGTGTTAGTAGTCATCTTACTTAACTGGTTAATTTTTCATAATGACACAATGCCTTTCACTTAATTGTTTTGATTCTTGCAGTTGATTCTTCAGGGGGCTCATCTCAAAGAATAACTTAAAAAAACTTTGCAAATAGTGGAAGAAAATGTCACGTAAGATCTCTAAGGAAATCAGGAAAGGAAACATTTCTAGCTCCTTGGAGTCTGAAGATATTAGCTTAGAAACCACAATACCAACTGATGATGTTTCTTCCTCTGAAGAAAGAGAAGGTACTGTTAAAATCACCAAGCAGCTGATTGAACGGAAAGAGTTGCTCCATAACCTTCAGCTGCTTAAAATAGAATTATCTCAAAAAAACTTGATGATTGACAACTTGAAAGTAGAATATTTGACCAAGGTAAGAAGTGTTGTTCCTTTCGTTCTATAATCTTTTCTTGTTTCTGGCACTTTGAGTATGGTAGAAACTTCTCTTCTGAAAAGAATTTCTGTGAATTGCATGCTGGAAGCCTACTTAATTGTTTTTTGGGTGTGTTTTGGTGGGTTTTTTTTGTTTGTTTGTTTGGTTTTTAATGTGAAAAGGAGAAAGCAAAGATATGGAAAACTTAGCTGATTTGTCCAGGTCATTATACTTATAAATGAAGGAGGCAGGATTGAATTAGTTTTTCATTTTCTGAAAAACAAAGGAAAAAGACCTGTTTTCTTTCAGAAATGAAGAATAATTTTGTCACTGATGTAAGCAGCTTAATAGGGCTTTTAAACTGAACTTGTGGAATACTAGAAAAAGTAATCTGAATTCTATTCAGTGATTTATTAAATGAAGATGTGGCTAGAATATACCAACAGGATAATAGTAGGCGGATCCTATTGGTGGATAAGGAATTGGCTGGATAGTGGCATCCAGAGAGTAGTGGTCAGTGGCTCGATGCCCAGATGGAGATGGGTGGTGAGTGGTGTCCCTCGGGGGTCTGTGCTGGGACCAGTGCTGTTTAATATCTTCATCAATGATATAGACTGTGGGATTGAGTGCACCCTCAGCAAGTTTGCAGATGACTCCAAGCTGAGTGGTGCAGTCAACACACCTGAGGGACGGGATGCCATCCAGAGGGACCTGGACAAGCTGGAGAGGTGGGCCCAGGTGAACCTTATGAGGTTCAACAAGGCCAAGTGCAGGGTCCTGCACCTGGGCCGGGGAAGTCCATGTAAACAATACAAGCTAGGGGATGATGTGATAAGAGAGCAGCCCTGCAGAGAAGGACTTGGTGGTACTGGTGGATGAAAACCTGGATATGAGCCAGCAATGAGTACTTGCATCCCAGAAGGCAAATTGCATCCTGGGCTGCATCAAGAGAATTGTGGCCAGCAGATCAAGAGAGGTGATTCTTCCCCCTCTACTCTGCTCTGGTGAGACCCCACCTGGAGTACTGTGTCCAGGTCTGGAGCCCCCAACACAAGAAGGATGTGGACCTGCGTGAGCTGGTCCAGAGGAGGGCCACGAAAATGATCAGGGGCCTGGAGCACCTCCCCTTTGAGGACAGGCTGAAAGAGTTGGGGTTGTTCAGCCTGGAGAAGAGAGGGCTCTGGGGAGACCTTATAGCGGCCTTCCAGTGCCTGAAAGGGGCCTATAAGAAGGCAGGGGAAGAACTGTTCACAAGGGTTTGTAGCGATAGGACAAGGGATAATGGCTTTAAACAAGAAAAGGATAGATTTAGATTGGATATTAGGAAGAAGTTCTTTAACATGAGGGTGGTGAATCACTGGAACAGTTTGCCCAGAGAGGTAATGAAAGCCCCATCCCTGGAGACATTCAGGATCAGGCTTGATGGGGCTCTGGGCAACCTGATCTAGCTAAAGGGTGTCCCTGCTCACTGCAGGGCGGTTGGACTAGTTGACCTTTAGGGGTCCCTTCCAGCCCAATGCATTCTATGATTTCGTTTTGTAGTTTCCATGAAGATGTATGAAACTAAGAAAGGTGTAAAAGCTTTGCTACATTTACTTTCAGTCCACGGTTGTGACCGGCAATATACTGCCCATGGCTTTCACTAGCTTGCTGCTCTTGAGTTGAAGCCTAGTTTGTGATTAGCTGAACAAGTAGCTATTAGGCTGAAAAAGATCCATTTTAGAACTAAGTCGTCTTATTTTTAGTTCAGTAGGGCAAAATCCATACTGTATTTTATGAACCCTGAGCATATTTAGAGGTCTTCTTAGACAATCATTATTGCACTTCTCAGGGCATTGGGCTCTCCACTTTTTCTTCAAGTTGTTCTTTTTGTAAAATATTGTTTTAAAATTACAAAGGTAACTTCTTTTCTGAATTTTATATGTATTTCTTTAGATTGAAGAGCTGGAAGAGAAGCTTAATGATGCAATCCATCAAAAGCAGCTGTTGTCTTTACGACTGGATAGTCAGCTGGCATTACAGCAAGAAGATGCTAGGTATGATGGAAGTAAAACTAAGAACTTCATCTTTAATAACTTATATGAATTCAAATTAATTTATGGACAGTTAGTGGAAACAGATGATTATGAATTTGCAGGAATAGGATTTCTTTGGCAGATTATATTAGTATTTCCATTCTAAAAATGGAATTTATGTATTTAATTTATATCTAAGTAAATTTGAATTCAGCTCTCACTGGCTGAAGTTTGTGGTTTTGGTTTTATTGTTACCTAGGTTCAAAATATAATAGGAACTGGGAGTCAATATGTTCTTAAAACCGGTAAAGAGCAAAAGGAGTAGGTAGAGGGGGCAGGCTCTCCATCAATTTAAACTGAATTTTTGATAACTCTGCAGCCTAGGTGACTTGGGAAAGGTAAGGGGATAATGTTTAGCATTTCCAGTTAGGATTGCTTGTTGGTCAGAAGTGTTTTCAGTTGATAATGTAGAAACTTATGTTTCATCTTGCTGTTCTGAAGTGTTTTGAGTTAACCTGTAGCTGACAAAAGCTTGCCTAGCAAGCTTCTTCAAATTACTTTGTCAATTAAGTGTTTTAACACCTGTAAAGGAAGATGATTATTTAATAGTCTTGTGTTACAGCAGAGCATGCAGCGGCTTACAGGATGTGACTAATTCAAAGTCATATTCTGTAGGAAGCCTAGAACAGATTTAGGGATGTGAAGCCAGACCTGAGATTAGTTACAGCAAAGTCTTTCAACTAAGAGGAGCTGACTGTCAGAAAAATGCCTGTCATTCTGTATGCTTATTTGTACCAGAGGGGAATATTTTTATGTTGGCCATGCTGGAGTTGTCTGAGGAGTGCTCAGTAAAAAAGTACTTCCGTGCAAATTGTTATTAATAGGCATAAAAAAATTGAACTACTTTCCTTTTCCCAGCCTTTTCATTAGTTTTCCTGTCTGTCTTTTACCTTGCTTTTCATTCCTGTTTAACAGGATCATACACTATGTGTGGAATATGTCGTTGTGTGACTGCTTTGCTGACCTGGGACTTTCTTTTGTCTTTTGAAACCAATGGGGCAGACATCACTTTGTAGTACTAGCTGGTATTTTTAATCTTACTTCTAAAATAACGTAGGAATTATTGCATTTTGAAGAATTATTTAATTTGAATATTTTTTCAAGAGTTACAGCTAAAAACCTCCGAAAAAGTAGGTCAATTGCCTTTGATTTAAATAAAATAAGCTAAACACATCTGGAAGCGATATGCAGTTTCTCTTGCTGTGTAATACCTTGTTGCTAGTGATAATAGTAATAATAGTGTTTGAAGGCTGGAAGTAAGGTTCCTAGTTTAAGTGTGGTGGTGTTTGTGGTGGAATCGTTTTTAAAAGGAGCCCAATTTTGTATGTTACGCTGGGTAGAAAATGAAGAGTTGTGTGTGGAATAGGCCATAAGCATGTATGTGCTGAAACATGGTAAGACACAAATTGAAGTTACAATTGCTTTATTTGGTGATTTACAAGTTCCTTGGGTTTTGTGTGGAAATATATTCCGATTTTCCATGGTTTTAACCCTTTAATTGGTAAATTAAGACTGATTTATGAATTCAAGACAGCACATGTGGAGATTGTCACTTCTTAGATTGAGCTTTGTATTGTCAATGACTAAAAAATTCCTAGCTTTTTATATGTACTTTGACATGATTGTGTAACCATGGTGGTATACACTCTTGTGCTCATTACCTAATCTCTCTGTAAATTGTCCCCTCCACAAAATGAGCATAACTCACTACCTTGACAGGGTATTGTGAAGGTTCGTTATGTGTGTTACCTACTTAATGTCTTCTCTTTTGAAATCAATCTTGAAGAAAACATCAAGCTCTAATGAAACAAGAAATGGAAACTATTTTATTGAGACAGAAGCAACTGGAGGAAACAAATCATCAATTAAGGGAGAGGGCTGGAGATATCCGTCGTAGCTTGCGAGACTTGGAATTATCCGACGATTGCTATGAGCAGCTAAAGTCTCTTCCTGAAGATCAGCTTTCTATCCCTGAATATGTTTCTGTGAGTATTCCGTTTTGTATTGGTTTAAAGTATAGATGTATCCTCGGTCTGGCTGGGATGGAGTTAACTTCCTTCATAGCAGCCTGAATCTTGCTGTGTTTTGCACAGTTGTGGCTAAAACAGTGTTGGTAGCACACCAGTTTTTGGCTATTGCAGGACAGTGCTTGCACAGCATCAAGGCTTACTCTCTTCCCCATTCTGCCTTCCCCTGTCCCCAGTGAGCTAGGGGTGGTCATGAGATTTGAGAGGGGACACAGCTGGACAGCTGACCTGACTTGGCCAAAGGCCTATTCCATATCATCTAATGTCATGCTCAGCAACATGAAGTGGAAGTAGAGGAAGAAAAGAGGAGGTGGGGACGTGGCTTCCAAGGTGGTTATTGCTCAGACTGCCTGGGCAGTGGCCTGCTTGTGGAGGTGGGGAGTGATTGTCTTTGTCTGGAGAATTTTTGTTTGTTTTTAATTCACCTCTCCTTTTCCTTCACTGATTAAACTGCGGAGAAAACTTAACACCTGAGTTTTCTTGCTTTTGTTCCTCTCAATCTCTCCTCTGTCCTGCTCCTGCTGGAGGCAGTAAATGAGTGAGCAGCTGTATGGGTGCTTGGCTGCTGGCCAGAGTCAACCCATCACAAGCTGTAAATTACTTTTGTTTAGAATTAAAGGGATATGCATATAGTGGAAGCCAGTCTATACTCTAGAATTCTTGTTCTTCACCAACTAGAAATGTAGGACCTTCCCAGCCAGATGTGCTTCTGGATCAGTCTGTTATTACCTTTTCATCCCAGACTCTGATGTCTTAAAGAGAGTAGAACTGCTGATGTGTTTTAAGAAGGTTAAGCAGGAGTGGTGTTACAATTAAGTGGTGGGCACACATTGATGATATGAAATACAGCAGGCGGAAAATAGGAATTTGAAACTCGGCTTGCCAGAACCACAAGTTGAGATGGCTCTTGCAAATGTCTTTCCCTCATGCGTTCCATCTGGCCCTTTCCTATCTGACTAAATGCAGGAGATAGTGTACCTTAAAGTATACTTTAAGACTCATTTTCTTGATTTAAGAAGTTTGTTAATTGTAGCTTATAGGTAGATGGAGGGGAAGGGGGGTACTCTGCTTGCAATAAAAAGCCGGTGCCTTCACAGACTGTTGGACATGTCTGGAGCATCCAGGATTGCTTCTGAGAATGAGGAGGACTTAGACATGTAAACCTTAATTCACCAAAATATTAACATTGTACTTATCTGTAGAGCTATTTATTAAGGAAGCTGTAAATAATATAATGTTAAAAAGTGTAGTGCATTCATTGAGGTATAAATGCTGCGTGAACAAGTTCTCTTGCTGGATGAAAGTCATGGTATGCTGTGGTCTAGATATGTACAGAGAAGTAAAACTTGTCGGTTTTACTGAAAGGATGTTCTTGGGAACATCTTTTCAAAAGTTCTGAAACTTGGACTTTGAAAGTATTAGGAAAATCTTAAGGCTCTGAGTGATACACAAGAACACTTAGCTTCGGGCCTGTTGGCTTATTACCCCCTAGCTGTCTGCTGTACCCACTGCCCACTATAGAAGTATTTGAGGTGGTTTTGTTGATTCCTGCATCACCATGGTCAAAAAACCAGATTTTTAACACAAACTGAAATCCATGTCAGCTTGCTTGACATTGGTGTGCAGGAAGCTCTAGGACTTCAGGAGTTGATTGACAGTCAGTACAAAAGCCTGTGTAGCCAGGCAGGACAGATAACAGGAGTTAGTAACCTTGCCAGCTGCTTTAAGTGAAGCTGTCACAGCACAATTAGAGTGCTTAGATTGTATTTGTGAGTTAGAAAGAGGCTCTAAAAGAGATGTGAAGTGGGAGAGGTGAGCAACAGCCACCTTCTCCCTAATCTACTTTTTTCTTTTCCTATTGTGTTCAACCAGTAAATGCTACTTTCTGTTTGTGACTCAAGCTCCACTTCTTATGTGTTCAGTGAAGCCCCTTTCATCTTTACACTTCACCTTTTTTCATTTGAAGAAGTCCTTTTTTGGCCAGATTATTTTATTTTTTCTGGAGAAGGCATTCTACTGATATACTGTAGTAAGATGCTATTTTCTTCTCTCAACTTCTTTTGGGAACAAGATCAGTGTGAACCTGAGAGTATCTATCAGTTAAGCTCAGTAGTAGTTTATTATTACTTTGAGTTATTCAGGTGATACAGGTGCTGGGAGGCTACAGAGCTGTTTTGCATATCCTGTCTGTGCATCCATTTGGCTTCTGAAGGCTAGGAAAAGGATGTTGAAGGGAAAAAGTAACTTTTCTGATACGGTTTTCTGCTTTGCTTACCTAAGGAGATATTGTGCATTTGTCAGGCAGATCTAGGTCCAGATCTATGTGCAGACTATTAGCGTTGTTTACTGATATTAAGGTAAAATTCTCCTTGGTGAGAAAGAGTTCTCCTTAGTGAAAACTTGAGCAAGAAATTTCTTTTCTTTTTTCTTGTTTCTATTTATCAATTATAAAATACTGCCTTACAATTCTTCAGGCTAGAACTAAGTCTGTATATGTAATGCTTACACTTTATTTGAAACCTGGTATGCTGGACAAACAGCAGAAAGTGCTTAAATACAGGTTTTGTGTATAGAGATATTGCAAGTTTAAAATACTAGAATTAAAATAAATGTGATCTGTTTTTCACTGTTCTTCCACAAAGGGGTGCAATAGTGACATGTTAGAGCAAAGACTAGGTGAGGTTTGATGTTAATGATGATAAATGAGAAAAGATGTTTTAAGCATCTTTCTCTTAAAATCATATGGTTTTGTTTTGAACTTATGTTAAAATTTAGATTTTTTTTTTGACCATTTATAAGAATGATTTTTAGAAACAGTATATGCAAAATTTTAAAGCACTTCAGGTCATTGAACTGGTGCTTGGCAGCTGAATCACTTAATTTGTTTGATAAAGTGAGCCTCTTGCATACTGTCCTGTAAGAATTTTTCACTAAGATGTTTAAAAATGGTATCTGCGAATTCTGTTTGATCCTATTTTATTTGCTGTGTCTTTTAGTTGTATCATTTTCCTAACTACAGCTCAGCTGATCTTTAAGAAGGCAGTTAACTAGTGCAACTACTTTCACCTAACTTTATTTAACAGAAGACAACTTTCTCATCCTTTGCACCCACCCATTCTTAGCTTAACTCTAGTTTTCCATAAAAAGTGTTGGGCACTTACTAAGTTTTTTTTAAAAATTGCCTAGGAAGTGGTAACTTTTTCCTTACAGCACATCTATATAAATTTGTAATTTTTGAGATATGCAGTTGTTTCTGAAATGCCATTACAGTAATTTTAGTTTCTGCTGTATTGACTTGGCAAGAGGCAATGTGTGCTTTGACTGCAGAGTTTCATCAGAGTTTATTGGCCATCAAGCAAGCTAAATGGCAATAGCAGTTGAACTTATGCTACAGCCTTTCCCTTATTTGCTGCATTCGTTTGCACTTTCTTATCACCATGGATTGACTTTTCTTGGGAAGGCTGTGCAGATGCATTTATCCTTGATACCTCTAGCCTATGTCGTCTTGGTTTGATACTGGGTAACTTATTTTAAGGTTGTTGTGGTTTGGGAAGTAAATGTGGCATGATGGCCTAGGTTAGGTTTCCTAGGGAAATGGCAGTAAAAATACAAGACATTAAAGGAAAAGGTAGGTGCGGTTTATAAAAGTCCCACCGTGCTTTAAGTGGTTACCAATTAGTGACCATCATGGTTCTTTTTTAAGGAAAAAAAAATTCATACTCGCTTTTTCTTGGGGAAAAAAGAGGATTTGATTGAAATTCAGTTGTCCGGTTTCAAATGTAATGACAAGTTCTTAAAAAATCCAGATAGATGAAAATTGTAGTCAGCGGAAGCTATAATTAGGAGACTAAAATTTACTTAGTCACTGTTTTGCAGGCACATTTCAAAAGTGGTTGTGTGGTTTTTTTTTTTTTTTTCCCCCTAAGGAAGTAGTGGTAGTTCAGAAGTTAGAAAGAGCCCACAAAACTAACTTCACTGACTTCATACAAACCCATTCAGAAGCAATGTGAATTCACAGATGGACATGAAAAAACCCTTAAATATTGAAGAAATAGAATAGCAAGGAAAAAAAAATAGTAATGAAACAGTAAAATAAGGCAATAATATGCAGTTAGTTTGCTTCTCAGAATAGAAAGACAATTTATAGTTTTAAGTTTAGCATCTGATAGTTCAATTTGTTGTCTGGAATTTTCAGAATGTGAACAAAAAAGTTATCAGACCTTATTTTGGGTTTATTTGAATTATAGTTTTAAACATCCTGAATGTTGTATATTTTATGTATAAACTTAGCCATAGTGAATTGAGAAGCTCTTGTTACTGTCTTATATAGTTGCTATTTTAATTTTTTGGGGGGGGAACGCTTCTATTTTTTTCAGTAAAAAGTAACTTTAAATTTATATGTCCTATTTTAGATCATGTTTGTTTTGCATCTAAAGGTAAGGATGAAAAGTGGAGCTCTCTAAGTACAACAAATTCAAAGAGCTGCAACTTTGAACAAGCACACTATTTGGAAAAACTTGAAAACAAAACAAAAAAATCTAACTTAGAAAATTTCACTTTTCTGGGTTACTACTAATCTTCCAATCATGTTGCACACTTTCTTTATTGTATAAAGCAAACTACACCTATGTTTACATTGCAAACTTCCATGGCTTCTGTATTTTTTAGAATTGTATGCTGTCAATTATGTGGAATATTCCTGGAACTTTTCTTTGTCTTCTGCTATTTACAGGTAGCAAAACAGAGACCTGTGTTCCTTCTGCATGGAAGTGTAGTACAGCTTGCTCTTGAATGGTTACTTTATCTGTGCTTTCTTGCTTGTATTTCTTCTTTGATCGTATATCAAACAAAGCTTTAATGATGGGGTGTATGGGGTAGCTTTTGCATGGAAATAGTGCTAAATTATCTCTTTTCTTTTCATCCCCTAAACCAAACATTTTAACGTATTAAGTTAATCTGGGAGTAACAGCCTCTGTATACGGGGTGTGTGTGGGTGTATCTCAAAAAAGGTCCTCTTTGTTTTGTCTCTTTTTGTTTTTTTAGTTTTTGTTTTTAACTTTGTGTACTCCTGTGCTTTCTGTTGTGGGTTTTTTTTTGTTGTCGTTCAGTAGAAATGATCTGAGGCTTGTTTGTCTGAGACTATGCCTGTAATGGAGTGGGGGAAGAGAGATGAGTATATGTTTTAGATTATTTTTTTTAAAAATTTTTTTTAATCCTTTTACAAGGCTTTTTTTTTTTAGTGGTAATTTAGTAGGGTGTTTCAGAGGCTTAGTTGCATGATGCAGCTGAACCCATATAGGAACATGTTACTTCTGAAAGTGTTTGTGTGGGGCGTGTCACCATTCTTCCTGGTTGTTTGCTGTTCCCGCTTCCTGGGCTTGCTCTGGCATTTTTCTTGGTGCAGATTCAGCACACTGAACTGGCAGAAAATGAAACTAATCTCTCTCCATTTTTACACGTCCCATAAAAATTTATATTGGCGTGGGGGAAGTTAGTGAGTTAAGTTGGTTTATTGCTAAATAATTTGTTTTGTTTTGTTTTTTCTTCTTTTTACACTGTTAATCAAATAGGTTCTAGAGTTTGCACAAGTAAGAGGGTGGGACCATGTGGTCCATTAGCAGGTGTATTTTTTTTAACCTGGTGGCCTGACTGGGAGCTGCCTTAGTTGAGCAGAAACTTATATCTTTACCTTTATTCCTCTTTTTTTCTTTTTATTCCATGCCAAACACAAACTGATTATTTCTTAGCTGCTGCTGTCAAAGGCTAAAGACAGACACTGTCTTTGCTTTAACGTTTCTCCACCCACCCCTGTCCTCACCACTTTCCTGGTATGCACTAGAAATCATTTGGTGGACTAGTGCCATAAAACATTGAGCTGATTTGGTTTTGGGATTGCAGTTTTGCTAGTCTCAATTTTGAATCTGTATCTCGTTCTTCTAGATCCGATTCTATGAAGTAGTCCATCCGTTAAGAAAAGAGCTAAGTGATCTACAGATGAAAAAGGAGAGCTTAACAGAAGAACTAAGTGGGTACAAATCCCAGCTGAAGTGTCTGACAGAGGTCTGTGCACCTTAATGTTCTCAATTAAGAAACTGTGTGAATTTATATATATATTGCAAAAAACTCATTCTCCGTTATTTGCGTATAAGATTTAAAAGCTTTTTTGCTGTATAAAAATTACGGGAGGGAAGAGGGGGAGTGGAGGGAGGGAAAGGGGAAACGTGCTATATACGTCCTTGCGTTAACAGCTAATTTTGCATTATGGCTACCCAGCAAGATTTCCACATGAGACTGTTCAGGATAGGCTCTTACCAGCGATGTTGTGCTTTCTGAGGGCCAAGGTGCAAGGCAGGGAAGCTGAGACAGGAGATCCATCCTGCAGTAGCTGAAGACAAATGATGGTTCAGTGTATAGTTTTCAAAATGGTGATATCTTGGTAATAATTTGCTTCACCTTTTGTTTTAATGATATAAAAATGCATTTTTTTAAGAATTCTTTGGAGTTGCATCTTCTCTGTTACGCTTTTCAACTTATTATATTTTAATTTTTGTGTTTTTCTATACTAGAGAAAAAGATAATTTGATTTAAGAAAATCTTTAAAATTATCTTTGAAAAGATAATTTGATTTTTTTACCTGAAGTAGAGAAACAAATTATCGAAATATATTTAGTTTTTATTCTCAAAGAGTAAGAGCTAAAACAGTATAAGGAGAATGTTGTCTTTAAGGTATTTAGGAATATTTATAGTATTCTTAGTTTGTGTACAGCTGGGATGCTTTGTATTTTAGCTTAGTTACACATTAATCTGGAGTTGTGATAAGACAGTTTCAGGTACCCAGAGTGTATTTATCAAAGTCATGGCTAGCAGGCACTTAACCACCACTGTCATTTTACTAATTCTGAAAGTATTCTTTAGTTACCACCTTTTTCTCCCCCTCAAAATTTACTTATGGAATAATCAGGTGTAAAGAGATGTTAATTATACAGGATTATTTTGTGAAATTCAAACTATTTTCGTCTCTCTTTTTGAGTGAATGTCACAGATGGAGTGACATACTTCATTAGTAAGAAAGTAGTAGTAATATGTTTGGTGACGTAAAACGATGCTTTAACGAAGTTACTGTTAAATGCCACAGTGGTTTAGCAAGATTTGATGTCAAGGTACGCTTAACAATATTTACTGCATAGAGGACAGAGTCAGACAAAACTGTCAGGGAGACCCTCCTGTTGAGTCACGAGGTTCAGAAGGGACCCCCTTGCTTTCTAAACTCCTTCTCAGAGAGGAGTCTAGGTGCGGCTAGATCCAATCCTAGTCCCAGATTTGGTCATCGGTTTATGTCTAAAGTGTTAGACATGTTTAAACATGATGAAGCATTTTCACCCTCATGAACATGAGCCAACAGTGTGTGCTTGCAGCCCAGACAGCCAACCGTATCCTGGGCTGCATCAAAAGAAGTGTGGCCAGCAGGTCGAAGGAGGTGATTCTGCCACTCTACTCTGCCCTCGTGAGACCCCGTCTGGAATACTGCGTCCAGCTCTGAAGCCCCCAACACATGAAAGACATGGAGCTTCTGGAGTGAGTCCAGAGGAGGGCTACCAAAATGGTCAGAGGGTTGGAACACCTTTCCTACAAGGACAGGCTGAGAGAGTTGGGCTTGTTTAGCCCAGAAAAGAGAAGACTTTGGTGAGACCTTCTAGTGGCCTTCCAGCTCCTGAAGGGGGCCTACAAGAAGGCTGGGGAGGGGCTTTTTACAAGGGCCTGCAGCGATAGGATGAGGGATAATGGTTGGAAGCTGGGAGATGGCGGGTTTAGACTAGATACAAGGAGGAAGTTCTTCACCCTGAGGTTGGTGAGACATTGGAAGAGGGTGCCCCAGGGAAGTTGTGGATGCTTCATCCCTGGAAGTGTTCAAGACCAGGTTGGTCTTGAGCAACCTGGTCTAGTGGGAGGTGTCCCTGCCATAGCAGGGGGTTGGAACTAGATGATCTTTGAGGTCCTGCCCAACCCAAACCATTCTATGATTATGCACAATCAATCCTTTATATCACGTAGCCAAGATTTCAAAGTTTAGCATACTATTTATTACTCACCGAGAATCTATTGTGTCAAGGAATCTCTCGGCCTTGAGGAGTAACCTTCAGAGGTGTCCCTACTCAAGGGGAGATCCTGACATGTAGCCTGCTGCAGTACAGGAGAGCTCAATGGGGCCCTGGGGTGTCCACTATTTGTGGAGTAAGATAATTGACTTATAGTCATATTTACATACTGACTACAGAAGTTAGTCTCTTCCGAATTTGGTTTGAGTTGGACATTGGCCAGCACTGTGATTAGGTGGGCACATTGTTCACAATAGCCCTTGGACGTTGTACTGTTACCTGTCTTCCCTGAATCCAATTTGAGCCACATGCAGCCATCATGAGCAGACACATCCATCATGGGCACCACAGGTAGTTATCTCTTGAGGAGAGTTACAGGAAACAGGGCAGGGGAGCACCATGCAACATTAAATTAGAAAAAGTAATCAATAAAATTTTGTGCATATATGTGCTTTGGCATTATTTTCTGTCATCATCTCTAGTCATAGTTCTGATTAAATTCATCATGTTAACTTTGATTTACATGAGAATTTTCCTTCATTGTACATTTAATGTGCTCTGATCTAACAAAATACTACAGGAGGATTTCAGCCTTCTGAGATTTGACTGACATCTGTGTTAATTTTTGCTGCAGCAATTTAACAGGGTAGTAGATGACAATAATCAAAGTTGTTCTAGGAAAAAGTTGCTTGGTACATTGTCCTTTCTTTAATATAGAAACTTGTAATTTTGTTCTTTTTATGCCACATGGTGGCAGTATCCACCTTCCCACTGATTTATTTTGTAAAGTTTACTGTGCTTTTCTTTTGGTGCTGATGAGAAAGCACTAGAATGTTGCCGATGTTGAACTGACGTGGTTCTTTGAATGCTTATATCCTGTTTGCATAATCATGGTTAAAATGAGACAATTAGCGAGAATTAATACCTCGTTTAAAAAAAGAGATACAGATGTTGAAATGTTACAAGAAAAAAAAAGCTTACAGTTGTTAATAAAAATCATTCCTTAGCATTCTCAGGTTTCAGATAAGATCTCTTGCTACAGTTCCTCCATATGTACAAAAAAACCAACCAAACACAAGTCTTCGCCCTATCTGTTATACATTGAAATGACGTGCTTTGGGTATTTAATGAAATGTGACCTGATACAAGGTATTTTATGTACGGGGAGACTTAAGAGTCTCTGTATTTTGCTTCTGGCAAGTTCAGATTTGACCTAGTGACTTGATGAGTGTCACTGTAGTGGGGTACCTCAGGCTGTTTCAAACAATAAGGTAAGAGAAGCAGCATCAATACATGAGGGTACTTTAGAATCTCTAATGTACTTTGTAAACTGCATAGGTATGTTCGATTCAGTGTACTAAGAAGTGGTTTCAGGGTGTAGTGTTGGAGTAACATTTATTTGAGCTCCTTCAGTGACGTCAGGCTTTATTGCAACGAAATTTATCGGTAGGAACTAAAGCACAGTTTCATTCAGAGTCTTACTTAAGTTCTTATACTCTTCTTTTATTGGTTTTGTGGTATTCCAATCATTCTTTGTTTCCAGCTACATGAAAGATAATTGCTGAAGCTTCTTGCCTGTTATTAAATAACTTACGCTCTTCAAATCCTTCCTCTGGTTTCCCGTCCAATAGTCCTTAAAATTTAAGTTTTCCCCAACAGTTGCAATATTTCTATTCTCTGTCAACAAAATGTCTCTTCTGGGTTTAAAACTTCTTTAGGAAAGTACTAATAC